TTTATTTAATAATAACCCACCTTATTTATTTAAAAAAAAAACACTTTATTAAAAACCCTCTTTAATGATTTATTTATTTATTAATTACCCACCTTCCCACCTTTAATTTTTTTTTTAAAAAACACTTTATTTATTTTTAAAAACCCACATTAATGATTTATTTTTTTATTAATAACCCACCTTATTTATTAGAAACACTTTATTAAAAAAAACACTTTTTCATTAAAAACCCACTTTATTTATTTATTTATTAACCCACCTTATTTATTTAAAAAAAAAACACTTTATTAAAAACCCATGATAATGATTTATTTTTTTTATTAATAACACACCTTATTTATTAGAAAATACTTTATTAAAAAAACACTTTTTCATTAAAAATCCACTTTAATTATTTATTTATAACCCACCTTATTTATTTAAAAAAAAAACACTTTATTAAAAACCCATGATAATGATTTATTTATTAGTAACCCACCTTATTTATTAGAAACACTTTATTAAAAAAAAAACACTTTTTCATTAAAAACCCACTTTAATTATTTATTTATTAATAACCCACATTATTTATTAAAAAAAAAACACTTTATTAAAAAAACACTTTATTTGTTTATTTAAAAAAAAAACACTTTATTTCTTTATTAAAAACCTACTATATCAAAACTCACTTTATTCATTTATGAATCCCCCCTCCCCCTTTATTTATTTATTTGTTTATTTAATTAAACCCCCCATTGCGTTTGTTTATTTACTTGAACACCATTTATGTATTCATTTAAAACCTCCTTTATTTATGTATTTATTTATTTATTTAGTTATTAAAAAGCCCTTTCAGTTTATTTTTGTGCTGTGACCCACTAGGGCAAGGGTAGGCAACCTGCGGCTCTCTAGCTGTTGTGGAACTACATTTCCCATGAGACATTGCAAAATTGACAGTTACAGCTATGACTTGCAGAGGCATGATGGAACTTGTAGTCCTGCGACAGCTGGAGAGCCGCAGTTTGCCTACTCCTGCACTAGGGAGATTTTCCTTCATGTCCTATCACGGGGACACAAAAGGAAGTGAGAGGAAACCTTTACAAAGTGAAGCGAAAGTCCCCTCTTGGACAGGTGTCCCCTTTGGATGTTTTCCTCTGACCTCTGGTTCTGGTGACAACTTACATTTTGGATTTATTTCAGGTACTTATATAGCTCAGACAATTATGCAGTCTTTAGATATATATTGTACATTCACATCAGTCCCTAACCCTCAAGGGGTGTACAATCTAAGGTCCCTAATTACATTCATACATACACATACTAAGGACAATTTAGACAGGAGCCAATTAACCTCCCAGCATGTCTTTGGAGTGTGGGAGGAAACTGGGAGTACCTGGAGGAAACCCATGCAGGCACAGGGAGAACATGCAAACTCCAGGCAGGTGGTGCCGTGGTTGGGATTCCAACCAATGACCCTAGTACTGCCAGGCAGATATCTCTTTCTGTCTGGGTGACAATGGACAGATGGTGAGAGCAAATTAACCCAATGGGGAGCCAGAGAGCAATAAAACTTGATAGGGGTTCTAGTACTCACCCCTCCCCCCCACTTCCCTCCAATATCCACAAAATCCAACTAAGTATGGGCTATATAAAATCAATCACATTGCAGTAATGTGCAGAAACAACAAAACACACATCAGCGTGTGGCACTGCTGGACAGGAATGGTGTGTGAGCCGCTTGCAGTGTGTTGGCAGCCCATTCATTTGGATATGACCCCTTAGCACAGCATGCATTGACGCATGGCAACACACACTGCTACAGTGTGAACGGGCCCTGATTATCCTGAAGTATCTTGCCTGACTGTTGCCTCTCAGAAAATGAATCATGGGGCTCATTCACATGACAGCACCATAGAAAACAAGCGTATCCCTGCAGCCAAGAGCGAAGACGTGCGCACATCTACCTACCGCACAGCTAAACATTTGCTACAGGGATGCATGAGTGAAAACTAGACGCATGGAAATCCTCAGATGTGCAGTTACCAGCATACAGCGCAACCTGTGTTTGATCTATGCTCCATGCATACTAGCGGGTTTTTTTTCCTAAGCTGAAAAAATGCTGGATAAAAAAATGCTGCAAATAGTGTTTTTTAGTAGAAATTAAGAGCATTTAGGAGCATTAGTGTTTTATTAGTGAAGTAACAGTATATGTAGAGGAAAAAAAAGCTGTTAGGAGCATTAGTGCTAACACTGACGTACAAAGCTGTTCATAATACTGCCCCACGCTACATCACCGATCTGGTATCCAAATACCACCCAAAACGCACTCTCCGCTCCTCACAAGACCTCCTTCTCTCTAGTTCCCTGGTCTCCTCCTCCCATGCCCATCTCCAGGACTTCTCAAGGGCTTCCCCCATCCTCTGGAACTCCCTACCCCAACCCATCAGTTTATCACCTACTCTCCTCTCCTTTAGGCACACCCTGAAAACCCACCTCTTCAGGGAAGCCTACCCCGCCCTCAGCTAATTGCCGATCTCCTCCACTCTTCCTACCACTCCATCCCCCACAGCTATCTCCTCCTGTACCACTCTCCACTCCCTCCTAGATTGTAAGCTCCAAGGAGCAGGGCCCTCGAACCCCTCGTGTATTGAATCATATTGTTACTGTACTGTCTCGTGTATTGTCTCCCATTATAATGTACAGCGCTGAGCGAACTGTTGGCGCTATATAAATCCTGTATAATAATAATAATGAGTGTTTTATTAGTGATTGAACAGTATATGTAGAGGAAAAAAAAGCTGTTAGGAGCATTAGTGCTAACACTGACGTACAAAGCTGTTCATAATACTGCCCCACGCTACATCACCGATCTGGTATCCAAATACCACCCAAAACGCACTCTCCACTCCTCCCAAGACTCCTTCTCTCTAGTTCCCTGGTCTCCTCCTCCCATGCCCACCTCCAGGACTTCTCCAGGGCTTCCCCCATCCTCTGGAACTCCCTACCCCAACCCTTCAGTTTATCACCTACTCTCCTCTCCTTTAGGTGTACCCTGAAAACCCATCTCTTCAGGGAAGCCTACCCCACCCCCTGCTAATTTCTGAACTCCTCCACTCTTCCTACCACTCCATCCCCCACAGCTATTTCCCCCTCCTGTACCACTATCCCCTCCCTCCTAGATTGTAAGCTCCAAGGAGCAGGGCCCTCGAACCCCTCGTGTATTGAATCGTATTGTTACTGTACTGTCTCTCCCATTATATTTAAAGCGCTGAGCAAACTGTTGGCGCTATCTAAATCCTTAATAATAATAATAATATAATTAGTGTTTTATTAGTGATTTAACAGTATATGTAGAGGGAAAAAAAGCTGTTAGGAGCATTTTAGTGGCATTTAGGAACATTTAGTGTTTCTTTCTGCTGGTTCCCAAAAAACGCAACATTGCATTTTTTTTTTTTTTGCTTCCAAAAACGCTTTTTTTTTTTTTCTGGTCCTAGAAGCTGAAGCTTGAAAAACACTTCTAGCCTACAATAATGTGCATGGACACATAGGACTATTCTGTGCTTCTAGGGACAGAAAAAAAACGCTCATAACCAGCTGCTAGGAGCTTAAAAGTAAGCTAGTGTGCACAGAGCCTTATACAGGAGGCATCGTTTCTGTGTGTAGGATCGGTTTTAAAAACCACTTGCCCTCCAGAGGATTCACCCCCCTTCCTGACCAGGTCATTTTTTGCGATACAACGCCGTCTGACAATTGCGCAGTTATGCAACATTGCATCCAAATTAAATTTACGCCCTTTTCTTCCTACAAATTGAGCTTTCTTTCGGTGGTATTTGATCACCTGTGTGTTTTTTATTTTTTGCGCTATAAACAAAAAAAGACAGACAATTCTGAAAAAAAAACATTTTTTTTGACTTTTTGCTATTAATCATGTTCCGTAAAAAAATTTAAAAATCAAATTTAGTCATAAATTCAGGCTAAAATGTATTCTGCGTCATGTCTTTGCTAAAAATCCCAATATGTGTAAATTAATTGATTTACGTGAAAGTTATAGCATCTACAAATGGCGGGATATACTGGAATTTTTTTTTTTTTTTCATACTAGTAATGGCGGTGATCAGTGACTTATGGCGGGATTGCAGTGGGCATTCTGACACTGGGGGGAACTGACTAACTGCCACTGACATCCCCAGTGACACCAATACAGTGATCAGTGCTAATAAAAAGCACTGCCACTGTACTAATGGCAGTGGGCAGGAAGGGGTTAACATCTGGGGTGATCAAAGGGTTAACTGTGCTGTGTGTGGTTTACTGAGCAAGCATGCTGCTTTGTATGGCTCTGCTGTGCATGCTGAAGCTGACGGGAGAGATCTGTATTGTTTACACACAGGTCTCTCCCGTCACTGTTCCTCGGCGATCGCTGGGTGCCGGCGGGGAGTCTCCAGCTTTGACCTGATGATCGACATCTGTAGCCGCCAATGCAGTGTGGGTAGGGCGGCGCAAGAACACGCCCCCTACCCTGGAAATACAAAATCACGTATAGGCGTACCTCGGTTTACGAACACCTCGGTTAACGTAATTTTCGGTTTACAAATGAAAATCCATTGAAAATAATGGCTCAGTTTACACATTTTTTCACAATATGAATGGATTAATTGGTTTTCAATGCATTTACAACATTTTTTTAATCATGTCCCTTTATGCTTTTAAAGTGCACTATATAAAAAGTTTTGAACTGATAAGACTTTTTTTACTTTTTTCTGACCTCCGGAACGGATTAATTGATTTTCAATGACCTAATTTTTAATCACTTCCCTGTACAATATTTATGCCTTTAACCCCTCGCCTACAGGGCACTTATACCTCCTTCCTGCCCAGGCCAATTTCCAGCTTTCAGTGCTGTTGCACTTTGAATGACAATTGCGAGGTCATACAACACTGTACCCATATGAAATTTTTATAATTTTTTTTGTGACAAATAGAGCTTTATTTTGGTGGTATTTAATCACCTCTGGGTTTTTTTTATTTTTTCTTAGTTTTTGATATACAATTTTGTAAATAAGTGATTTTTCTCCTTCACTGATGTGCACTAATGAGGCTGCAGTGATGGGCACTGATAGGCTGCACTGATGGACACTGATAGGTGGCACTGATGGGCACTGATGAGGCACTGGTAGGTGGCACTGATGGGCATTGACCGGCATCACTGCTGGGCACTGAAAGGCAGCACTGATAGGAGGCACTGACTGGCACTGATAGGCGGCACTGACTGACACTGTTAGGTGGCCCTCACTTGCACTTAATGGCGGCACTGACTGGCACTGATAGGTGGCACTGACAGGCACTGATAGGAGGCACTGACTGGTAATGATAGGTGTCACTGGCTGGCACTGTTAGGCGGCACTGGCTGGCACTGTTAGGTGGCACTGACTGGCACTGATAGGCCGCACTGACTGGCACTGATAGGAGGCACTGACTGGCACTAATAGGCGGCACTGGCTGGCACTGTTAGGCGGCACACACACTGGCACTGATAGGCGGCACTGTTAGGTGGCACTGACTGGCACTGTTAGGTGGCACTGGCTGGCACTGATAGGTGGCACTGACTGGTACTGATAGGCAGCACTGACTGGCACTGATAGGTGGCACTGACTGGCACTGATAGGTGGCACTGGCTGGCACTGATAGGCGGCACTGGCTGGCACTGTTAGGCGGCACTGACTGGCACTGATAGGCAGCACTGACTGGCACTGTTAGGTGGCACTGGCTGGCACTGTTAGGCGGCACTGATAGGTGGCACTGACTGGCACTGATAGGTGGCACTGATTGGCAGCACTGATAGGTGGCACTGACGGGTGACACTGAAAGGCAGCTCAGACGGGCACTAATATGTAGCATTGATGTACACTGGTAGGCACTGATATGTGGCATTAATGTGGCACTGATGGGCACTGGCATGTGGCACTGATGAGCACTGACAGCTGGCACTGATGGACACTGACAGCTGTCGCAGCTGGGGCTACACTGATCATCAGGGCACACTGATCATCAGTGCCCTGATGATCAGTGTACATGTCCCCTCCGCGGAATGCCGATTTCTGGCTCTCCTCTGTCAGCGTGACAGCTCCAGAGGAGAGAAATGCAGATAACCGGCATTTCCCTGTTTACATGTGATCAGCTGTGATTGGACACAGCTGATCACATGACCGAGCCGACATCTTCGGCTCTTTCCGTGATCGGTGATCTGCTGTGTCCGAGGGACACAGTGCACCGCCGATCGCCGCGCTGCACACTCCCTGAGCCACACATGCGCAGTGAGACTGGGAGGACGTCATATGACGTCCTCCCAGAACGAGAGAACCACCTTGCGCCCATCATATTGGTGGGCGGGGAGGCGGTTAAAGTGCACTTTATAAAGAGATTTGAACAGATAAGACTTTTTTTTTTACTTTTTTCTGACCTCCAGAACGGATTAATTGGTTTTCAATTCATTCGTATGGGAAATTGCGTTTCGGTTTATGAATTTTTTGCAACACGGAAAGTCCCGCAGAACGAATTAAATTCGTAAAATGAGGTACGCCTGTATATATATGTGATTTTGCGCAGCCCTGTTGCAGTATTTCTTCTATAGGACGGTGGGGAAGCGGTTAATAGTAGAAAATTTAAATTTTAGTCAGCAGGGTTCTATATATAAACTACATAAACACATGTTTAAGATTAAAAGAAAACTAAAATCTTTGGATAAGTTAGGATAAGTTTAGGTGTACCTTTGCCACACCTTTAAAAAGTGATCCACAGTGGATCACTTTTCAGAGGCGTTTGACACCAAAACTGGTGCAACTTTACATCATGTATTCCCATCACATCAGGTGTGCCCATCAGAGTGCTCCTTTACATCAGGTGTCCCCATCACAGTGCCTCCTTACATCAGGTATTTCCCGTCAGAGTGCCCCCCCTTACACTCAAAGTACCCCCTTTCTATCATATTCCCCATCAGAGTGCCCCTTTACATCACATGTGCCCATTAGAGTTCCCCTTTCCACAGTATGGGTCCAATTGTGCCCCCTTCACATAAAATGTGCCCATCAGAGTGCCCCTTAACATTCAATGTGCCCATCAGAGTGCCCCCATAAGACTACACCCTACCTTGAGGGCAGACAGGAGCTGTGCCGGGATCCTTGCTGGACACTTGTGTACAGGCAGGGAGCTGGAGCCAGAGAGACATTGAGCTAAAAAAGGGGCGGGGCGCACACATGGTGTCGCGTTGCCTTGACGACCACCCTGCCCCATGGCGGATCTGTCATTGCGGGCTGGCAGTCTGGGCGGCAGCATTGCTGGGGCCATTCACAGACCACGGTCCGCCTTTTAGTGACCGCTAGCCTGGCATAGATGTGAACGTGTCCCATAGGAAACCATGTTAAATGGACCCCCTAAAAAAAAAAAACCGTGAGCAGGAAGTCACTTAATGGCCCCCCAATGCACCTGTGCTACATACAAAAATTGATGGGGTCGGGTGTGTTGCCCACCCATTCAAACGCATGGGCTGCATCAATGCACAGCACAGTGACACGTGACATAACATGTTAAGGCCAGGCACCAGACCTCAGCATGATTTAAAATGTTCTTTAAATGCATATAAATGCAGGTTTTACAGTGCCAGTGTGAATGAGGCGTAGTGGTGTATTTATAAAACAAATTGCATAGCAATTCACCTAGTGAAGACTCATGTCTGTTCGTTCTGTGCAAAGGAGGCAGAAACACTAATTGTTAAGATATATCCCGTGAAAGTCACGGTTTTAATTTATTTTAAAATGAAAAATACCTCATTTGGCCACCAGATGGCGCCAAGGACCATAGGAACTTCCTAAGATACTTAACACCATCTAGTGGCCAGATGTGGGATTTTTCATTTTAAATCCATGACAAACATTCAACCAGCACAGGAAATAGCCAAATAGAACTCTTTTTTTTTTGCTCCATTCACATTTTACTGGTTGAATTGCAATGTAAATTTTTAAAACTATACCCCTAACATATAACAAAGGGCGAGAACAGTATTTTATTTACTAATATGGCAACTGGTTTTATTGCAGAATGACTAGATGTCATTCTAGTTGGGTTTACATCTACTTTAACCCTTAGTGGTTAAGAAAAAATAATAAAATGTTTTAATAAAAAAACGCCTTTACTTTAAAGTGTTACTAAAAATATTTAATCACTGCAGGATGCTCCTTCTTCCAACTCCGTCACTGGGACAGGGAGTGAGGGGAAATTTCCTCAATGAAACTTAGACAACAGAAAAAAACCCACAATCCATACTCTATTCAAAACGAATAAACATAGTTTTGGCATTATACTGTATATACTGTAGTTGAAGCTTTGAAACCTGGTAATGATTTTTCACTCAACCTGTCAATCGCGGAAAGACCACGAACATAATGCTGAACCCTATTGAAGTCTATGTGAGAAAAATCTTGTAAACTCTTTTTATGGCCTTTGAAGCACCACCCCCGAAGGATCCGCTTGGTAATTTTGGGTCCTCTGTTCTGCGCCTCGACTCCAAGAGCTTCAGCCCTTCTGACACACCTGGTTGAATGACAATCAATGCAAGCACGAATAAAGACACAAGTGAAAAATACCCTGACTGTGGGTTATTACCAGTAAATAGACATGCATCCGTTTAGTGGTAAATACAATTAAAGTGGTCCTAAACCCAGGACCCTGCATTCACTATATCTGATCTCCCACAGTACACACAACATGGAAATGACATTATTTTAGTAAATAAAAACTGCTAAATACCTTTTCACATCAGCAGTTAGAGCAGTCTTGTGACTTCTGTCAGTTTCCAGCAGAGCACTGGTTAAAGCTTGTAGGAGGAGTTTTTTCTCCCTGAATATCCTATGAGGCTGCATGACCCCCCTGACCTCTGTCTGGACAGTGCTGATTGGCCCTGTGCTGATCACATGCACTCTCCCAAGTAAAAAAAAAAACCTCTATAGCAATACACACCAAACTGAGCATGTGCAGCTTTCCCCCAACCCTTTGTACTATCAGGAGATTAAATGGGGACAGTAGAAGAAGGGGAGGATCAGAGGAGACAGGATCAAACATCCTTTTCACGCAATGCAGAGGATTAACCCCTCACAGTGAGTATAACAATCATGCTTTACTGCATATACAGACTGATTTTACTATTGTGGGTTTAGTAACACTTTAATCAGTGATTGCTTCATAGCCAGCTTCTTAACTGAGAGTGCCATATATTTAATACTATAAGGATACTTTTCCTCCTGGCTTCAGCCAACACGATCTGTTTTCCCAGCGAGCGTTAGAAAGCATCGATCTGCCAGAAACATAAGTTAATTTGTACACATGGCTGTTTTGTGTTGGATAACTTCTTGGAATCGCAAATATTATTTAATGACACAATCACATGGAACACAGACAAAAGGCTTGGTTACTGCTGGCGTAATGCCCTTCGTATTTCATAGGGGCCTGCAGGGAGTATGGAATTTAAAGCATACCTGTTACCCAGTGCCTGGTAGATATCTCTACATTGCAGGCTATGCTAGTATTTCAGGAAATGCTGCCAACAGTTTGCTGGGGACTTGTAGAATATGTAACGTACAGTAGAAGCATTGCAGGAGGTCTATCACAGGAGAAAAAAAAAATCCCCCTCCTTCTCCCCGGGGACCCTGTGCACATAGCACTTGTCTCCATTAACATCTATGCAGTGGATGTTAAGAAAATACATCTTTTTTGCTGTCATTGCTGGCTGTAGCTCCATGAAGCCTAAAAATATGGGCATTCCTATGGTGAGGGAGTTACATCCAGCACTGATCCCTACCCCCTCTCTGTTCTGCTGTTCTGTGTCTTCTTATCACTCCTCTTTAGTTACACAGAGTCCAGATCTGCAGCCTGCTATTCAGGGCTCAGAGAGAGTGGAACTGTCTGCTTGTGTTGTGAATGACGACAGCTGGAGCAGAGCTCTTATATTCACAAAAACACAAGCTGACAACACATACTGGCTACTACACTGATCCCGACCAGACAGCCTAGTGTAGTACCTGGCTTGTTCTGTTGTCAGCTTTTTGTTTTTAGGAATGAAAGCCCTCAAGCTGTAATCACAACACAAGCTGACAGTTTCCACTCTCTCCTTCACCACTTGCCCTCCAGAGGATTTCCCCCCCCCTTCCTGACCGGGTCATTTGTTGCGATACGGCGCTGCGTTATTTTAACTGACAATTGCGCAGTCATGCAACACTGCACCCAAAATAAATGTATGTCCTTTTTTTCACACAAATGGAGCTTTCCTTCAATGGTATTTGATCACCCATGCATTTTTTATTTTTTGCGCTATAAACATAAAAAAGACCGACAATTTTGAGAAAAAAAACAATATTTTTGTCTTTTTGCTATTAAACATGTCTAGTAAAAAATTTTTCAAAAATCAAATTTTGTCATAAATTCAGGCTAAAATTTATTCTGTGACATGTCTTTGTTAAAACAAATCCCAATACATGTACCGTATTTTCCGGCGTATAAGACGACTGGGTGTATAAGACGACCCCCTAATTTTCCAGTTAAAACATAGGTTTTGGGCTATACTCGCCGTATAAGACTACCCCCCTTCTGAGGCAACACCATTTAAAAACCTCAGATTTTTTAATTGAAATGGTTTATGACTTACCGGTACTTAAAATCCTTCAAAATCCTCATGTTCATCCTCTGACATCATAAGTTCATGAATGACATCTTGTGATACATTTGTAAGACAGTCATCATATGGATCAAATTCCAAATCAGATGGTTACCGCTGGATGTGCGGTAATACGGTAGCTTCGGCTACATACAGTAT